TCACAAAACGACAAGATTGGCTAACTTGCTTAAACATGGACATTGCTAGTCTTCAGTGCACAGAGATGCTTGATAAACAGGAAGCACGGATTGAGGAAGAAGCGTTGTCGGAGGATGTCTATGCACTGTTTCCCAACTGGGACTGGCACCCGCTGCCCCAATGTTTTCAGTGGACTCCATCTTTTGATATGTCGCAGGTTGACCTCCCACCGACTTGGAGTGACCGGGCTAAAGACTGGACCCAACTGGTTTCCTTTTTTGCTGCTCAGAGGTGGCGAGTTGCGGAAGACGCAGTCACTTCCTACATGGAACTGGCTCTTCTTTTCTACCTTCAAGGTTGGTCCTTGCCCTCTTACGACCCGTCACTTCACACTTTCCGTGACTTGGCAACAGACTTCAAACAGGTGGTTGCGGCCTTTAGAACGTTTTCCCAGGACAGGTTCATCCCTGGCCGCCACAATAGACATAGAAACAAGTGTATAGGCAAATCCCTCCCGAACGGAACGATTGATGGAGCGGAAATTTACTTTGATCATGAGCAAAAGGTCAGGTTTGCTCACATTCTTGCTAGTGTGTCAACCGCCCGCTTGCAAGCTTGGGCATTTTGTTTGGACAGCGCGGAATCCTAATTCGGGGTGACATGTGAAATCACATGTGTGGAGGATGCTGAGCAGAATGCTTAGCATACCAGCCGAGACTTCGCTCGACGCGACGGGAAGAACAGAATAGACGACCTACAGGAGGCCAACCGGCCAACCTATATACCAGGTTTTGGAGGTCTTGGCTTTTGCTCCACAGTCATGTTGATCCATAGGGTCTTAAGTCATTTTGTTCTCAACATTTTAACGACCCGTTGCGCGGTGCGCTGCGCTATGCGGAACCCTCGTCGAGGTGGCACATGTCGAGGGCTCCTCGTCCAGAGCGGGAGGCCCCAGGTGGAAGACTGTGCGTCGCCGAGGGTCTTTTGGTCTTGCTTCGAAGAAAACCTGAGCTCCATGTGTTCCATAGCAAAGCTTTGGTCCCTAAAACTCCAGGTTTGGGCTTGGTCACAGTGGAACCAAAGGGGCCCTCAGAGGAGCCTATACTCTAATGCTGAACAGAACCCCTTTAACTTGGAAGGATTAGGGCGCATGAACAATATAGCTACAAAAATCTACAGTATAATATGCAGTTTTATACACAAACCATCAAACTAATTTAGTAGTTGTAAGGAGACTGTAAATCAATTCACGGGCTTTCCGGTACTTAGGCATTATATGCGAAACATGATGCCCTCACTGCCAATCCTGGTCCCTGTATTTAGCATTCTGGATGTGGGGTTAACCCTCAAAAAATATTACAACGATCCCAAAGCATCTCAAAGTCATGCCGTCGAAACCTTTCTTCAGTCCAGTTCAGGGTTCTGTTGAAGCCAAGCATCCTGTGTATTTCTCAAGATGACCAAAGTTGATATTCCTGGCCACTGGCTTTTTGCCATTCGCTTCCGCCGCAAGAAACCCCCCCGTCCCGTGACAACGACGGCTTCCTCAGGTGCTGCACCGTGACAACGGCGAGCCTCAGGTGCTTTCAGCGAGTCGGAGCGCTGCAACGTCGGTCAGTCTGACTGGGTGAGTCGACATGGGAGGAAGATGTTTTAGGTCACTGCGTTGAGAGGGTGCAACAAAAGCCAGTGTTCTTCCCACAATCTTCAGCTCATGTTGAATCTAGAATCTAGATCATCAGCACCTCGGTGCATTTCGTACTTCAGATCAAAGGGCCGATTGAACTCTACTCTGACTCACGTTCCATGGTTACGTGGATGCCATTGCCCCCCTCTTTTTTCCAGACTACTTTCGTGAAACAGGGGGATTGAACTCACTCCACTTCCATGTTTCATTCTAGAAAGTGTAGATATTGTTGTATTATAATGAGTTAAGACTCTTGTTCAAGACCGGGACCTCTGAAAGAAAAAAGACACACGGTGCTTTTTTTTTTTTTTTCGCTCCTTCGGTCGGTGCCGATGTGCCAGGCCTCCTTGATCCGCGCCGATGTGCCGGGCGCCGTGCCGCAGAGGTGCGCGCAGAGGTACTGGGTGGTTTTCGGGACGGATGGATCGGTTTTCTTCACCCCCAACGGAGAACAGTTCAGGTGACTGTGGTTTGTACTATGGGTGTGCATGTATTTGGAAGTTGATTTGGGTTTTCCTAAGCCATGTCGTTTTTTTTGGATGGGGAAAAGATGGGAAAAGGCCATTTCGTTTGAGTGGTTGCTCTCCAAAAGGGGAGGTTGTCAGGGTCCTCTGAGTCGGGTCGATGCTGTAACACCAACGGTCACGTCCTGCAACACCAATCTCCAAGAGTTGGGATATCCAAGGGAGGTTTTGTGTGACCTGAAAAAGGACCATAAAAGGATCCTAAAATTACTGGAGTACCTATGGGATAGTCGAACTAGGGTTCTGAAAAACCTTTGTTGGATATACCAGAATTTGGCTTCCTGGAATTCGCTGGAATTCTCCAATTGACACCGAACATTGGTGGTGCAAGCTGGAGACTCTGGCCGATTCTAGGTAGCGCGAGAGAATGCGGCGGTTTCACAGTTCGTCTTGGCACCTGAATGATCAGACGTCTCATGGCGTGCCAGGTTCAAAGGCCATGTGCCAGTGAACATCTACGACCCTCCACAGGCTTCCGGATCAGCTCAACTTTGGAATCAGGGGTCAGGTGGTGTGAAAATATTTTTGTGGATCAGCCATGGGGATTCATTCTCCAGGTCACCTGCAAGAGAGCTGCATGGCTTCTTGAGCATGCGTCGGCCATTTATTTAGTTTATTTCATTGGAAAACCTGTTTGATCAAGATGAGACCATTTCATTTGATCTAGGTTTGATCTAGGTGGCTGAGTTTACCTCAGGCCTGATGCGACTTTCAAGACTCCAAAATCGGCACCGAAGATTCCTGGGTATGTAAGGGTGCTGTCGCAAAGACTGGTGGTGCTGGTTTTGAATATTGCTGTTCTGTCTGGCAATATTGTGTATACTATTGTGTATAAATATGATATTAGTCGTATAAATACACATTATATGTGAGAGAGAGAGAGTGTTTAGTCATCGGATTTATAGAATTATTTGTTTGCCATGATGCGTTCCGCTCTGCGCGGCAAACACTGCCAAGGTCACGCCCTTCTCCATGTTCACCGGCCTCACCTGCACAGACATTGAGGGTGCACAGACAGGCGACGGCGACGGTCCGACGGCGCACGACAGGCGACGGCGCGTTGTTCGGGCTCCACTGGGCCTCCAGTCCCAGTGGCTTTGTTTACTTGATCTTTGTAGAACATGCAGTTAGGCTTAGTAAGTCGCCAGCCTACACACAAAGACGTAGAAGTACAAGGTCGCGTGGTTCACCCTGCTTTTGGACATCCTACCATGCCTCTTATCCCAGTCCCTTTGAGGAGTTCCCCCGGTCTGCCCGGTTTCTTGAGAAGCGACTTGCCGGTAACCCCTTTGAAGAACCTCACCCCCCCCCCAGGCAGACGAGGTCTTTGCAAACCGGCAGAACTGAAGGGAACTGGCTGGCTGTGCTGAGAAATGCTTGTCCCAACTTGGTATCTCCAGATTGGCTAGGATGCCACGAAGAATTCAATGGTGGTTGGGGTGTAATTAGTAGTCGGCCTTCCCAAAGGCAGTGTGGTTGCTTTTGGCTGCTGGATACTTGCTTATTATGGCATGGTGCCAAGGGATGCAGGATTTGTACCCGCAAGCAATGTGATACATGTGATGCTTGTTTCCCGCCTCCAGGAACGCGCAAGGGTGGAGCATGCTAAGGCGGGTGTGCTGCATGCTTGATGGCACGGCGGGCAGCAAATCAGCTAGAAATCCGGTTTTGCAATTGCAAGGGTACCTTGGATTTGCTAAAACAAAACACCCAATTACCCCAGTCAAGTGTGTGCATCCTGCTTTACACCCATTTCATCACGTAATTGACAGTGGAGATGTTTACGTTTGTTGGAGTGTCTTTCCTACGCGAATGTCACCTGTCAGCAAAGTGTTCATAGCAAAGAGGATTGAAAGAACTTGTTAATGTCCAGAGTTTACATCCAATTTCGAAGAAAGTTGCTTGTTTGCTTGGAGCTGGCAATTCTTTTGGGATTCCGGATTGATGCTGTCAGGCTATTTAATTAAGTTCCATGGTCCATCGCACACAAAGTTCCTGTACATGATGGACAGGGATTGCAGTACTATCGTTGTTCCGGCTTGAAGCCACCAGCGCATAAATCATGTGCCCTGTTTAATTAGGCTCGCAAGACAAGATAACAATCAATGATCCAAATTTGTAGGGACAAGTTGTTTGTCTTTTTGCAGAAGGGACCCAAACGATGGACGAGTTGCCAAGAGCTATTTCCATGGTTGCACCACTTTAGTGGCGCTCCTCACTCGCGTGGACTCGGTGGCATCCGTTCGAACTTCAAGGACACGTCCGAAGAACTGCGAGGAACGTTTAGACACATGAGAGAGTACTGTAAACGCATGGAAAGGTATTTTTTTTAAACACAACCTCAGATGATGCTGTTTGTATTTGTGATTGTTTGAGGATTTTTGTGACATCCCTGCAGGAGGAGTCAGGAGGAAGCCACGTTACCATCCATGACCTAGACAGGACAAATCATTGGGGACATTCTGCAATGGGCCTTTAATTTTGTTCAAAACGTATAAAACAACATTGCTATTAGGCTGCTATCGCAGTGCCGTGGGTCCGCAATGACTTTGGGCCCAGAGATTGGTGATCTGTGCAGTCTTTTTGTGCCTTTAGGACAGTCGATAGAAAACCATCATCATCTTAATATGTTTAAACTTGTGATGCTTGGCATTGCCTTCGTCAGAATTATTGTACCAACATGGTAGGCAACAAAGTCTGGAGCACATGGCAAGACTGCAGAGAGAAAGATCCAAACCCCACAAAGGTAATGTTTCTGATTTCGACACATCAATCTGCCCGACCGCCAGACATGTGCCCTTTCCCTCACCACGTACGGGTGCTTACTAGGCACCTGCTTGTTGGATCCATCTCTCGTTGGACTCCCGTCCTCAGCGGAGAACTCTCCGCAGCGGAATTCGATCGCGGACGCTCCGCGGTCACCCTGATCGCCGATAACGTGCCATTCCGGTCCTCCGGCCAGGGCCCCGGTTTCTTCGGGTGTCTTCCATATTTGACGAAGAAGGTGTGTGATCTAGAAGAGACTATAGTGACTATAGGTTGACATGTTGCTTGTGCCAGAGCTTCCACATGCGAAGCAAGCCTGGAGGTGTGAGTGAGCTTGATCGGGGCAAGTAAGTGGTTATGCTATGACATTGTATGTGGCATGCACGCGCCACTGCTGTAGGACACAACCCAACAATACCTTTGAACAAGAGAAGTCCTTGTTCCACAATCACTTCTGAGACTCCAACATGATAAGTACCATCTAGCCTGTTGGCCACAACCTCCAGAAGATTTCGCATGTGTGCGTTCATCTTTTCTTGGGGGCTTTGCTTGGCCCCCCAACTCTCAAGACAATTCTTGTAGCTAGGACCTCAAACCGACCACCTGTGACTGTGACACCCACGAAGCCCCGAGGGCCCATCATGGCATCCACGAACCTGAGCATCCTGAGTGTGCAGACAGACTTGGAGGACAGCGGAACAGTCCACGGGAGACGACGAAGAACAGTCCGGCGGCGAGAACAGTGCGGCGCAGGTGGGTTTTGGTTTCCCAGACACTCCATGGGACTGCCATAGGACTGCCCCCCCCATTGACCCCCAAAACCACCCCAACTGATCGGCAGTCCTATGGCAGTCGCATGGAGTGTTTGGGTTTGTTCTTTCTCTTGGGTTTTTTGGGACTTCGGCTATCAGATCCTCTCACCGGTCACCGCCACGGCGACTCCCGAGGGGTTGCGAACTGCCAGGACTCCCAGGCTCCGAGCTGCCAACGTTTGGAGATCCACAGCAGCTTCGAAGGCGCTGCTCGCGGGGCGCCACAAAGATTCCACCCCCAAAATCACCGCTGAACATGGACCTTCTGACCTTCCCTTCCAATCCACAAACACCTTCTCTGCCAAAAACAAGAAAAAAACTCCTTCTCTTCATCTCCGTGTTCTTTCTCAATACCGGAGGGGGTCCTTCCACCTCCGACCCGTCCACTCTTTTTTCGTCCATCGGACGTCGGTCGTGTGGCCCAAGAGCCCAAGAGCCTCATGACTCAGTCATGCACCTGGATGACCGAGAATTCGGTGTGTGGGTCGACTATAAAGGGTCAACTTGTGTCTACTCAGTAGGGAGAAGCCCCCCTACTAAAAGCTCAGTAGTATTGGATCGTCTTCCGTCGATGTTCACTATTAACAGGCGTTCGCATGAAAGTTGATGCTGCATGATTCTGCTACTTCAATTTCTTTCAGAGGTGTGTTTGGGTGTCATCTTGGAAGTTGTGTGCCACTGGTGATGGACAAAATCTATCCATGGGAACTCAATAGGCGCCAGCAGCGATAGTCTACCCATTTAATGAGCCAGGAGATCTCTCTTTTGAAGTACACACCTAATTGGATCCAGACATCGTGATGACGGAAAATGACCACTTCACCACGGCCAGTCGTTCGGCAGGGAAGCAAGCATCAATAGGAATCCTTGTACTTACAGTGGCTATTCCCAATACTCCCAGGACCCTAGCTTTCTGAATCAAACAATCAATCCAGGCCAATACTTTGTGCCGTGATGCAAAAACTTGGAAGCTTGGTATAGAATTTCCCACCAGACAAAACAGTAATTATTACTGACCCAGTTGGGCATGGAGCAACCGACGGATGAATGCGAATGGAGGACCCGCAAAAATCACTCGTACATCCACGGCAGCATTTTGAAGCCCTTGTTGGGCAGAACCTACACGTACTGTGTGCAAGTTGGATGATAAGATCTACGCCTAGCAGGCTCATGTTCGGAAGCGACTCCGGCTTGCTATTGTGGACCAGATGCAAAAGGTATGGAACAACGTCACAACCTTGCGTTGATTCCTCCGTGTTCCCCCAACCATGCAGGGTCAGGAGTCGTGTGACACAAGACGTTGTCGCTTCTTTGGGTCGGCTGCGCCTCCCCGTTCGAACCTTTTTGGAGGCGGGAAAGACTCGGGAGACACCAACACTCCCGTCTACCGAGACAGTCTACCTGTTGGGCCAGGAGGTCTCCTCTCCCCCCAAAAATCATCCCATTCCCATACACTCCATGTATGGAATATATGCCGCCCCATTGACCCCACTAGACTGGCACCATCCCAACTGATCGGCAGTCCAAGGGCAGTCCCAGACGTGTCGTGTGATTGGCATATTTCATCATATTTCAATCTGTCCGACTGGCCGATTGATGGGAACACCCGGGAGGGTCTACTGGAATGGCCGGGCCGGGGGCATTGGGTCCTGCAGGATCCCAGAAAGTGCGCCGAGAACGCTTTGTGGCTTATCACAGGACCTGGGAGGTACCGAGGGGCTATAGTGGATGTGATCTCAGGTCACCTCAAGATCATTCCAAGAAGACCCTCCCCTTTTCAATCCTTTTCACTGGTGGAATCACAAGAAAGGATAATGTCAGGAGCTCTCCCTTGCTCACTTGGTCACTGGGTCAAGTCGCGACTCCAATTTTTGTAAGAATGTGTCGGCACCGTCCCTGCCGTCTCGTTTTCATCATGGACGATACGTCCCACGTCCGGTCTCCATGGCCCAGCGAACCATGGGACCCTCCCCGCATTGTTTTTTTGTGTCCGCATGTAGGGAGTCCTTCATCGATCTCCATCAGTCCAAATCGGCGTAAAGCGGTCAGACATGCCTGCTTGCAATGGTCCATATTCATCTCAAGCCGCCAATCACACAGCGAAAGACCGAAAGCAACCAAGGCAATTGAAAGTTCCAAGCCTAGAATGTGCATCAGACGTTTCTTTCTTGGATGTGCTACTTTGATTTAACACTTAAGGCCTTGGGCATTCCCAGCGGATCCCAGTATATCAAGTAAGGCTGTATTAAGTATCAGTATTTACAAGCAAGCTGGCCCTCTAGGAACTGGTGAATATCTTGGTGCCTGTTCCAGAGTTTCCATCATCACACATCACGGACCGGTGGACAGAAGGCTGTGCTTGCTCAAGAAACCGGTTGTAATGGAATAGCGGATCCATATTGCGAAGTCAAAAGACATCCAAAGACTAAAGCAAGGACGCTAGGAGCAAAGGGCATCGCTACTAGGAGCAAGAACGCTACTAGTGGCTCCTGGCCTTACTACTGGGAACAAGAAGCCGGTCAGAACACCACAAATAGTTTGCTCATTTTTCAGCCAAAGGAAGTCCCCGGAATCGCATCACCCAGGGTGACCAGTCATCTTTCAGGGGTAAAGAAACTCCCAGTGTATTCACCATAGACTGCGGCTTCTCCAGGTCTTGGCATGTCTTGGAACCGGTGTCTAATTTTGGACGGTGTCCCTTTGTGACCATACCCACCCGTTTTCGAAGCCTTGGCTTTCTTGGGCGGCTCCAGGGCCGCCTTTTCGCTCGCTCTCAGGACAACTTCGCCCTCAGGATGGGAGGGCGGAGAACTCGGATCGGGCGTGGCACTGGTTTGGTATAGAAACACCTTGAGATGCAGAGCCCGGTGGCAAAAGGCTGATTTATATAAGGACCCCAATGGGCCCAGATCAAAGAAAGGCTGTGTTAGCATAGGCTCCTCTTAAGCTATGCTGAAAGTGAGTTTCCCCGAGGTGCTGTTTGGTTTGCTCTTTCGCAGTGACTGTGGCGCTCAATCCTAAACCTTGTGATAAGGACTACCATGAATCACACGATTGTCGAATCTTGATGAATAACCTCCCATAATATGAAGAGGTTGTACAATCCATGCCGGTGGTTATCAATCAAGATTCTACATTAGGATAACATTCTCTGAGAAAGGTCTAAGGCTCTAAGGATCAATGATGAGTTTCTTTTTTGTCAGGTCGAACGAATCCACTGCTTTCTGTTGACCTTTGCACTCCCTTTCCCATCTTTCGCGGTCGCTGATGGGAAGACTTCACGTCGTCCAAACACGTGCAAGTCTCTCAAGTGCCCTTAGCTGAGGGGTTTATGCATGGGCGGACGTGAGGCATAGACATACCAGATATTCATACGCCATATTTGATTCATGTCTACTGGGTATGCATGGGGAAACAAGGGTCCAATGGTGTCCGGTGTTAGCATGTATCATTTCTCCGGTGATGAAGTGCATCCGCCAACCCTCCATCTCAACGCAACTTGCACACTCCCTTTGGTGGGTCCTGAGTCCTGTGCCACTGACGCGCCAGACGCTTCACTCGGTCCAGACGCGCCAGACGCTGAGCGCGGAACGGCGCGATCGAGCCGGTCAGGTGACATGTATACACGCTGCAATAGAGAAAACACATGGAACCTGAAACTGAGTTGTACCTGAATGTATCCATCCATTGAATGCCGTGGACATGTTGTCTGTGAACAACCGGAGGTGGTCGTTTGGCTCGAGGAGTTGACGGTTGTTGAGGTTCGTTCGGTTTTTGAGGTTGCGATGATAGGAGAAGCGACTTGCAACATGTTGATTAAATGGATGTTGCATGCCGTGAAGCCTCACTTGGTAGTTGGACTTTTTGACTCTTCTTGGACCCGAAAACGGCAGTTTGGGGGGAAAGGTTTGCAACGCCGTCATCCACTGGGCCCTGGTTATTGGAAATTACCCAAATTTATGAGCAAGGGCCCAAAGATTCTATTTCAGAGTTTTGGGAGGTGCTTCACACAAAAAAACACTTGCAAAAACCATGTGATGCAGAACATGTCTTTACCAAAAAAAGCACCCAAAACCGACCGTTCAGAGTTCAAAGCACCGCGCTCACCGCTTCCTCCGTTGACTCGACCGGATCCGTTGCACCGCACCGCGCTCCTCTTCAGGTCGATCGAAGAGCTGCAAGGCCCGCGACCGGTGACTGGCCGGAACGAAGTCCCGATCGGGTGAACGTTTCGTGGTATGTGGCTGCCCTGGCCGTGCCCTGGCCGTGCCGATCGTCTGTTTTTTCTGGTTGATGGTTCCGAAGGGGCAAGTGCATCTTCCCTCCCCTCCCAAACCGTGGCAGCACGAAACGCCCAACCACGTCGTGACCGTTCCCGCGAGTTCCGCAGGACGAGACACGTCAGAGCTGCATGGTCTCCGCGTTCGAGACATCCCTTGGCTGGACCCGGTCGACTGAAAAGCGGTGCCGGTCGAGAGGATGGATGGTCTTCCTTCTGGGAGAGCGGCATTTGTAGGTGGACGATGGATGAAGCAGATGGTTTTGGTGGTGGAACTGGTGGTTTGCTTGGCTTTCCAACTGGCTGTGAGTTTTCGACCGCTTGTGATCAAGTCGAAGGGGTGGCATATCTCTTTTGGGGTGCTGATGGGGTAAGCCACATGAACTTGTTGAATGTTTATTGAATTGTTTAACTATTTTTTTTCTCAGATGGCTGTTTCAAAGCAAAACGCGACGTGTTGTGTCGTGTTCAGACTTTGACCTGGCATGATGACCGAAGATGACTGGGATGAGTCTTTTGTCATGGTAGGTCATCCTTTCCGATGAAGAATTCCCTAAAGCGTCATCCGCTTCAATACCAGTCACATGGAGGCCAGACGTGGATGTTCTGGACACTGGGCATCCTCCGCTCGGCACGAAGACAACAAAACGTTACTCAAGGGTACCAAACACAAAACGAAGCAACGGAGGTTGGAGACCTTTCCATCATGTGCAGGATGAGGATGAGGACGATGGGCCGCATGAGGTGGCGGATTTCTTGAAGGCCAGGACTCTGACCCGCGATGCTTGCTTTTTTCAGAGAGACATCTGGCAGTGAAGTCCAAGGCACATGAAGATATACACGGACAGGACAAAAGTTGGTAAAGAATTTCATTGAGTATTAAGCATTTGGGGCATTTGGGGGCCTGTTTGGTGAGCTCTTTTTTGAGCACAATGATTGCTGTTTCTTTTTCTTCGGAGGATGACTGTAGATTCAACCAGTGGCCACTCCAAGGCTTGTTGACGGCCTGAGAACTACGTACCTCAAATGGAGGGCCTCTTGCGCGTGCCTTGTTATGTAGAGGAGGGTGTTGTTTGTCTTTCGCACAGGTGCAGAAGCTCCAAAGGCCTTTTGATGCGCAGGCTGTGCGGGGGAGGCAGCCAACCAAAACCATTGCATTGTGGTGCACACCTCGAACTCCGACAGAAAGCTCTAGCTTGAATGGAATGCCGGAGTTCGAGGAATCATGTTCTACCTTGATCCGCAGTAAACCTGGATCATGCTTTGCTGGAATGTTTACTATAAGCATTTTTGACCCCCAGCCAATCTGGGCTTTGATGAGCATATGTTCGCTGCTCATCATTGGAACTGGGCGGATAGGGAATTCCGAGGATTGGTCCAGTCCGTCAGCAGATTCAAACCGAAGAGAGCTGAACAGGCTTCGTATGACCCCGCGTATGACCCGACCTGGCAAGTGCTGATTATATATAGATTAAACATTTGATATAAATGGTTTCCCCATGTGTCCTCCAATGCGAGATGTTGTTTGTGTTTTATGTTGGTTTTTGCTTTGAGTAGCTGTCACAAGGTGATTGATCTCTTATAGTATGGGGTGCGCCTTAGTTGGGTTGCGTTCGACTGCCTGCTTGGCCGTGGTGTTTGGACCACCTGGATATGTGGTGGGACGCATTTACAGGAGTCATGCTTCGTTGCAATCAGTTACAGTAGCTTCTTGCTCCTAGTAGCGATGCCCTTGTTCCTAGTATCGTAGCTTCTTGCTCCTAGTAGTAATGCTAGAAGCTACTAGTAGCTTCTAGCTACTAATTACATCTAATTACAAGACTAAGACATTTTCTGCCATGTTCAGCTCTCACCCAAAGACCCAATGGTCTCCAACGTCCCAGGGGTCGCGGGCGGCGGCCGAACGGCCGTTGGGGAGCCGAAGGGCCGTGGGCGACGGGAGACGGAGGGACCCTTGAGGGCCCTTGAGGGCCCTTGAGGGTTTCATATGGTTTCATCTGGGTGAGTGACAAGTGGGGACACCTGGGAAAGACCGCCAGACCGACATGGGAAAGGCCGAACCGCTTCGGTGAGGGAGGTTTTGAGCCACCACCATTTTGCTTCATAACCGACCTATGGACTCAGGACCCGTGCCATGTGGAGCCTTTCTTCAGTTGGAAAACACCCGTGCCACATGTTCCTGACCCTTAAGCCATCCCGAAGCACAGCACCTGGTTTGAATTGGGCGAACCGTGTTTCTCCTTATGAGATCTATGAGTGAATGCCCTTCTGAGGAAGATTGATTCTTCCTTAAATCAAATCCAAGACTGAAGAAAATGTGTCGAATCTTTTTTGGAGGCCTCGAAGAAAAGGGACGAAAGAGGTCGGCACCACTGAAAAAATCTGAAAAGAGGTCGGGGACCTCCACGCCAATTTCATCCTTTTGTGAGTGTGACAGTGGGTGGTGCACATGGTTTCCCTCAATCTTTTTATTACAATAGTTCGATAGGTGAACTATGGTGAGCTAGCTGAAGTCCAGTAGAAGTAGTCACCCCGATGTTCCAGCTTTGGGTGACCAGTGCTGGAATACAGAGATGACTCATGATGACTCTTGTATTTGTTGCAGATTTGCCCAAGAGCATAGGTCCGGCACCCAAAAGTGGATCACCTGCAAGCCACTTTTTTGCTGCTTGGTTTCCCCACAAAAATTCAACATGTAAAATGATTAACCTTGTCAAATACGGACCTAGCAGTAAGTATCAAGCCCAGCTCGAACACCCAGCAAGCAACTAATTTAAACCTAAAGTCCACTTTGTCCTCACCCTAAAAACATACTCCTTGGCAGAAACCTCTCCTTATTAATCAAGCCTAGCTGCCCCAGCAAAATACACAAGGTTTACATATATTATACTTTCTTTTCAATTATCATTAATTATCTTCCTATAGTGAAACTGATCTTTTGATCCACCCTTTTCTCATGCCAAGCCACAAGGTCATACCAATCATCCACACTCCACCAATCTGACCATCCAGTATAGGCATCCACCCTCACCACATAGAGACTCCATCTCTCATTCCTCCTCCATGCTCTCGGGTGCAAGCTCCCAATTGGCATGGCACTGATCTCTAATCTCTCATCAAGCTTGTGTGTGCCAATATACATAAGTTCTCATGGTTCTCATGATGGTTCAGAATCCCATCAACCATCATCCATCATCAGATCCAGGTCATCACCTCATCCATCATCAGGTCATCACCTTAAGGGGGGGATCTGGTCGTCCGCTTTACCTTCAATCTCGTTGACCTTGTTGACCTTGAATGTGGGGGGTTGATTAATCCTACGTGGACATTGTTGTTTATTGTTATTTTCCAGAGAAACTGAGGGGATCGGGCATTGTCATGTCTATTTTGGTGATGTGCAGAGCTTCTGCATCTCAGCCACAAGGCCACATCCCCCAGTGCCTCCGGTGCGGTTGGTGTCGGAGGCGGGAAAAGCATGGAGAACGGTGAGGGGTGCCGCACTGACTGACTTCAACTAATTCAATGAGCAATTTGGATAGACTTAGTGATCCCACCAGTAACAGTCAAAAGGCCTTTACTAACCATCCACTGCAGACTGGTGGCAGTATACCCAAAGATAGAGTCCAGATGATCAGTCCATTGACGTTCTTCGTCCTTCGTCCGGTATTGTGGTTGTCGTCCGAACCTGAACGGGTGGGGACGGGATCAATGGGGCGCCTCACAGTGGTATATGATATGGATTACTACCTCTATAGCGCTTACGCATCCACCAGTGAGACGTGGTTACCATATATTATAGATACCGTATACCTATATGATAAGATTTTTTATAGTTGGGAAGGGGAAAGGCCAGAAACCATCCAGCGAATATCTTCAACCGGGTCACTCACGATCAGGACATCTCATTGGTTGCCGACACACTCCAAATCTGTGAAGCTTCACGACATGGAATTGGGGGCACTTCGCTACCGGATCCACTTCAAGATTCACGATGTATACCCAGGTAGGTCTTCAAGTGGTACTGTTTTGTTGCCGACCATTTGTCAGTCAATGTGTCAGAGTCATGTCAGTGAGGAGAGAGTGCACTCATGGAAGGACAGCACTCGCTTACTTCGTAGTCCGTCGACGATGTTTTTGCTTGTTTGTATGAAGCCGAGAAAGAATATGCGGAATGTGACGGACTAAATATTGGACACAAAACTTTATTTTTAAGCAGGGGACACCTTTGTCACAAGTCAGGTCATGTAAACTCCCTTGACCGTTGCTGTTCATCCCTTGACCATTGCATTTCACGCAAGAATAATAATAATGTCAGGACGTGAACTGCGCAAACGGCGCCTATCCAATGAGCGCGAGAGGGGCACCGCCCAAGCGAGTGTCGCCTATTGCGCAGGCAGGATTCTCGGGCGATTTTGCAGTGATAGTTCTTTTCTATGACTCAAAGGGCAATCCCAGCTGTGGATAGGTTACCAGCACCCTCCAACGGGTCTCCTTTAACAGCTTTTGGAGACTCAAAAGTGCATGTGTTCAGCGTAGGGACGGCTCACCTGGATGATTGTGGTTCCTTTGGTTGATGCAGCTCAAGAAGAAGTTTCAATGGATTTTATCATCAACCGGTCTTAAAGCTTTGAACACAAATGCAGTGAAATGTTGTTTGTATTAGGAATCAAAAGACATGAGAGTGGACATGATGATACATGGACCGAAGTCCAATATATAATATATAGTTGACCTGATGTTGCAGACGTGGTTCTTTGACTAAGAACGCGGTTTCAGAGCTTGCTTTGAAGAACGACTTTTAAGGCAAACTCATGGTTTCTTGAATACCATACACTATCTGAACCAATCATGGAAGTGGAAGACATTTGAACACCATTTGTTTGCAGAGGAAAATAGTCATCCAATGGGGCGCCATCCACGTAACCAAGATGCCAAGGAGTGTTTGGTTGAACGGTTGGTAGTCATGATCCAACATCCCCGAGAGAAAGTCCGCGTGGTCATCCAAGTTGGCCGCCCAACATGGTGCAGGGAGGGGAGAATATAATCTGAGTCCACATCAAGCACTTGGGGCCCTCAAGAAGGGGCTCCGTTTTTTTTCTCATCCTCTTGAACAATGTTTTTTTCCCCTCCCATTTTACCCACCCTCGAAACCTTTTTTTTCACCCTCAAGATTCCTTTTTTCCCCACCCTTTGGAACTTTTTCTTCCACCCTTCCAACACCGTTTATTTTCACCCTGCACCCTGTCATTTTCACCCTGTAGCATGTTTCTTTCACCCTTCACCTTGTTTTGCTTCACCGGCTTCACCCTTCATCCTTTCTTTTCACCCTTGACCCTTTCTTTTCAACCCTCCGCCGGTGAAGCAAGTAACCCCTGGAACCTGCACAGAGAACGATGTCACCTCCGGTTTGTTTCACACCGCTTGTTTGCACCTGCCAAACCTCAATAACTTCTTGTTACTATCCCTTCGGAACCCTCCGGAAACTGCGCAGAGACTGTCCGGAACGACGGCAACCGCCGGAAACTGACCCGGACGCCTCCGGAACGTGAGGCAGCACAGGATCCATCCATCCATGCATGCATCCATCCATCAACGGAGTGCCAACCAACCGACCAACCAACCAAGCAACAACGCGGCCAAGCCAACAAACCAACCAAGCAACCAGCAAGCCAAGCAACCAAACCACACAACCCTGTGCTTTCCCCAAAGGCTGTCGATATTTGGCTTGCATTACAGCAAGCTAGCCAACCAACCAACACACAAGAAAGGGTCGAGGGTCAAAAAGGAAAGGATATCGGATAGAGCGTGAAAAAAGAAGGTTCGAGGGTGAAAAAGGAAGCTTCAGAGGGTGAAAAGAAAGGTGGAGGGTGGAAAAAAAAGGGCTTGGTGAAAAACATTGTTCAAGGGTGACCAAAAAGGTTGCCCCTCAAGAAGTTGCAGACACTGTTGAACAAACACATATTGTTGAGCAAACATATATGAATTGAAAAGTGCATGACTTAGTCATCAGGTTGATTATGTTGCCAAGAAAATCCAAGAAAGTGGTTCCAGATGGCCCCCCCAAGTGGTGCTGGATCAAAGACTTGTGGCGACTGGGCAGTCCGACGGCGCAGGTGGACCGCTCGGTGCAGTCCGTCGCAAACTGAGTCTAGACTCAGCTGTGGTGATGGAGGTTTCTCAGGCACATGGTGTGGGTGGCACTAGGCACGACTGACCTTGGCGTGCCAAATCCTTTGACCAACCGACCGGATTACCAACCGACTTGGACCGGTGGACCAGAAGCGCGCTCCGACCGGGCGCACCGACCGGCTTCCGCACTGGACGGCCATGGGACCTTCAAAAGAAATGAAGCGCTGGACTGCGCTGGACTGATTGGGGGACCGCATGGATTCATTCAAAGGTTTACTTCATCGTTGACGTGCCTTTGGTAAAGGCAACTCTGCAAGCCAAAGACACAAACCGACCCGCGAAAAAAAACAGAGAACAGGCAATCTGGAAGGGTCCTCATGTTGAGTCGATTCGTATTGAAATTGCGGTTTTCATTTGTCACGGAGCTGCCCTTCGGTGCTTTTCGGAAGCTGCATCAAAGGATTATTGTGCTTTGTCCATGGTTTTTCCATGAGCTATTGGATCCATCGTCGACAATCCCATCAGACATCGGCCATCGTCGACCTCGGCCATCGTCGATCGTGAACACCCACTTGAACCGCGTGAGCCATCTCCAGGGGTCTCCAGCGCTTATAAGCGCTGGTGATGTTCGGACGGCAAAGCTGAAAAACATTCAAGGGGCTGTGCAGGACTGAATGAACTAAAGGCTTTAGTGCAGAGGCTTGCTGGGACCTCAAAATGACCCCTAGAAACACTTCTTTGTCTACAGGAGACCGCTGGGTAAACCAGAGCCAAATCCAATTGCAGCCATGGCAGTTGAGAAGAACGTTGGCATTGGCAGAAGTTTGGAAGGAGATGACTCCGCTGAACGAGATGCAAGACAAACACAGGTGGTGGGAGTGGGTTTGTCGAATTGTTTTTTTATCGCTGTTCCATCATGTCAAAGTGGCCTGTGATGTTTGACAGATCAGAATCGCAGAGCTGACGCAAGGATTTGCCAAATCAAAAGTCAATAGTGAGGAATCAGCTCTATCTAATCTACTATAGACTATAGATATACAGAACCGTTTGGATCCTTTTGGCATTATCTTTGTTTGGATCGAACAAGTAGAACTTCTCTATATCCAGGCCCACATGAAATCGTCCCACAGCCAAATCAATCAAAAACGACTGCCTCCTAAACGCCGACCTTAAAAAGCCGACCAAAAACATCACCCACCCCAACACACCACCCCAGGTTCTTTCAAAAGCGACGACCCCCGACCACACCAGCTCTATAGACACCGACCAAAAACACCTCTGGACCTCGCCGCTCGTGGAAGGTGGCGACCTACGTGGCGCGCATGGAAATCAGTGATCCCGACGTCCTGCGCGCCACGCGCGCGCACTGCGCCTTCCGCGGCTGCGCGCAGGCCCTGCGCCCGGAGCACGGAGGCTGGTCGGCGGATGCGGCCCACCACCCAAGACTTCTATATTATATAGAGTCGATTCGACTTAGCATATTTGGGAACTGTTGGGACATGTTGGGAACTTATTTGTTGTAACTTTGACGTTTGCTTGGACCTTATGAAACTGTTGAGAGTTTTGGAAGATCTACCTACGGCTTTCGATCTTCTGCGTGATCCTGAACTTATTATTTCCGGGCCAGCATATTCCATTTGAACCCAATAGACTAGGCCCGGCATGACTAGGCTCGCTTTGCAAGTGTGCCCCAAACTCAAGCTGTAATTCTTCGCGTTGGGTTTGTATGGGTTCACGCCATCCTAACGCCCCAGAATCACTGGCAGCTTGCTTCAGCCATGAGAGGAGAAGGATATTATTATGCATTTCACAAAAGAGGGTGCATTGTTTCCGGCATCAGGTCCAAACTCAACAGCATTGCAAAGCCAAGCTGTGTGGAGCGGAATCTCCACCGATATGATACGATATGTTTCCGAATGTTTCAGAGATGTTTTATAAGTAACTATATATAATAATAATAAAGATATAAATGATAAGGTTTAGGTGTATTTAGGGTGTCAAGATAGATGTTCGCATGTTTTCGCGAATCCACATCCAGGAAAGCAATGACAGAACAACATGTCAATCACCTGATCGCCTGATCAATGTCCAACCCCTGAAGACCATAACCGCAAACCCTTAAAGTTTTGTTGTGACCCGATGTTGATGTCACTTATGGAGTTGAAGGAGTGTGCTCTAATTTTCTTCGAGGGTTAAGCTGCTGACCCTTCATCTTCTGAGCTGTTGCGCACCTCCACCAACCTTGGAATCCGTGAGGAGCCACCGATTGGAACACATTATATTTGTTGAAACCAACATGCGACGTGGATGTCATTCAGCCAGCAGTTTCATTTTGGACAGGGTTTGCTTCGTCCTGGGCAACCGATGCCCCCACACCAGGACTGTTGGCATGGTACACGAGTGTATGTTGGCACATCACACATTCACGCGCTTTTGGAGGTCAATAATTTTGTAATACGACCTAAAACATTAATCGGCTAATTGACCGATGCAGGCAATCTTTATCATGAGAGCTTTGTGAGCGAGAAGATCTCCTGCTTCTGGTCACACTCCTGGCACGGTGGGCCTTGGACGAAAATTCTGACGCTCTTGCTGCACCATAATGGACTTGCTGCAGTTCTCTCTGGCTTCTTTGGTCAGATTTCAGCGTCCGGAGTCCAGATGTGTGTGTGTGTCACCCTCTGTTACTAAGAGTTTTTCCACCTAACAACTCCGTTGTTTGCAGGGGGGAGAGAGGACTTGGCTCCTTGCAAGATCCTAGTAAGCGGAAACTGATCACTTCCGTGTACCTGCACCTTTGGAACTTTTGTCCAAGCCGTGACTCCACTTTTCCTTTTTTGTTTCATGGTTCTTGCACGATACCTTCCCTAAACCTTTTCCCGCAGCTACGCCGCGTTGACGTTTGCCACCGCCATTTTCGTGAGCTGCAGACGTGCACAAACCATGTGTTGAAACACCTTCAAGTATTTGGACGCTTCAACGGAAGCCATTCCTTTCCTCGTGGGACAGGTGAAACTGCAAACCCATTATCTAAGTGTGTGCCGCAGTGTCGTCCCACTTGGGTGCACAGTGTGATCCCCCGCAAAGGGGCGCAGAGACCATTCCGGACTGCCGTGTAACTGATTCAGCGTTTTTCCGCATGCGTTGGATTGCCTTTTCTGATTTGAGTGTTTCACCCAATGAATTTCCTGACTCACATGCTGCCGAGCTACGGAGACTCTTTCCACAGCCTTTCAAGTTTTTTCGCGGTTCAACAGAGGGAAATGGTGCTCGACACACTTGTGTGTCGGTGCCTTTCCCTTTGTTGTCCCTGTTCGAGTCTACTCTACCCGGGCGGTGTAAGACTAAAGTCCCGCTCCCTAACTATTGCACCTAATTAGGATCCGCTAAGTAATCGGTAACTCTAGAGTGCTAAGTATTCAGACACACACATGCACACACACATGGACATACAACCCCTGCCTGCCCCCCGCTTTCTCTCTTGCGCTTTCTTTGTTTTCTATGTTTTCTTTCAGGCTTGTTAGGTGGTTCTAGCGGCTCGTTTCCCTGCCCCAGTCAAGTGCTAAGTAGTCACTTTTTCCGCTACTCCTACCTTTCCTTCTTGCCCTTTTCGTTTTTGCTCTTTCTGTTTTTCCTTTTCTTTCCTAAGGCTTTTTAGGTGCCTATTCAGGTTCTTCGCGAGAGCGCCGCAAAGCGGCCTTCTGGGTGTGTGCCACCCTCATGCGCCGATGACGGCGCACTGTGTGTGTCACCCTCTGTTACTAAGAGTTTTTCCACCTAACAACTCCGTTGTTTGCAGGGGGGAGAGAGGACTTGCCAGGCTCTGCCCAACGAAGCTCCTTGCAAGATCCTAGGAAGCGGAAACTGATCACTTCCGTGTACCTGCACCTTTGGAACTTTTGTCCAAGCCGTGACTCCACTTTTCCTTTTTTGTTTCATGGTTCTTGCACGATACCTTCCCTAAACCTTTTCCCGCAGCTAAGCCGCGTTGACGTTTGCCACCGCCATTTTCGTGAGCTGCAGACGTGCACAAACCATGTGTTGAAACACCTTCAAGTACTTGGACGCTTCACCTTTCCGTTGAGCCATTCCTTTCCTCGTGGAACAGATGTAACTGCAAACCCATTATCTAAGTGTGCCGGGTTGATGGTGTCATGTTTTGTACGTTGGTTTTGTTTGTCAATTCTAGACCAACTTTTTGGATTACACAAATTCATGTGTGGACTTTGGCACACGCCTTTTTGCAGAAACTGGTGGAAAAATGGCTTTGCCAGAGCTCAATCCACGCTTTCCTACACAGCACTGAAGAAAAGTTCCGCGATCTACTACTGTGGTACCACAGCAAGACATGGGTGTTTGCCGTGTTCGCGTGTTGTGTTTGCTGCAGACCAGATCGATGAATCCTATGTTGGAGTTTGGATTGGACACCTAGTAACTAAACATGCATATATACATACACATATATATGTAGTTTAGCTATATATATATATACCCTATAGGTTTCGCGGGCTAAGTTTAACTTGGACGTTATCGATGCACAAGTTTAACCAAATAAACTTATACGTTCCGCTATGCACAAGTTTAATCGAACGTGAACCGTGAATGGTTCAAACTAAATCTGTGGTGGAACAACCACAATTTTGTGGATGTCGTTTCAGACCTGTTGGGATCAATACATGTTTTATGTCAAAAAGGATCTAATATTTGCGTCTGAGATATTACTTGACTGAAAGAATGTATTGTCATACCCAGACCGGAAAGGATGAGGTTTTGTGAAGATCTCAATGAAAGTCATAGAGCACTTGGACACATGAAAAAAGGGAGTAGCGTGAAATAGCGTGAAATAGGCGTGAAGTAGCGTGAATGTTTACCCTTTTACCCGTGAATACACAAGTTTACCCGTCAAATTGGACCCTATGCAATGTTTCATGTTTTGTTTTTGGTGACATGTGTGATAATTTTTTGATATTACATGTATATAGAGAAATGTAGAAACTTCCAGAGG